ATCGTCATTCCTGCTCACTCACCAGTTACCCTTACTCCCCCACACACAAATTAAAACCCGGATATAACATACCTGGAGTTAGGCGTGGTATTCGAGGGTATCAACTTCGCTGCCAAAATTGGCGAGAGACTGCGCGCGCTCAGGATTCATGACAAGACACGTGGTGCCTCCGCCAGCTGTCTGTGGCTTCCAATGATTGCTCAGTCTCCATTCCCAATGGAGCGTTGTCAGATAAGGAAGCGGCTCTACCTCGGGCTGCCCGAATAAACAAAAGTAAACATACCCCAAACGTTAAAAGTAAAAACTACCTTCATCCTCCGTCTGTCGGTGCAGAACGTCACACTTGTGGTGGGCACATGAGTATGATTCGAATGGAGCGGTGTGAACAAAGCTCCCGGTATACGGTTAGGGTTTGGATGCAGGGGAGAGGGAGAAAGTGCTTGGAAAGTTCTCGTGAATTGGTGAACGTTACTAGTATTATTCTACTTTCTCGGTGATAGTAAATGGCACGGACCTTTCACTTTTTCTTTATCTTTCTTTTACTTTTTTCTTTAATACAAGAAGACAAGGTCACATCCTATTGGTAGGGTCCATAAAGAAAGATTAGGGTTTTATAACTACAATTAAACCAAAGTCGGAAGATTCTTTTTTGGTACAATTTGTTATTTTCTTTTAATTTGAGGTCATTTTTTTATTCAATTAAAACTTTATGGTTGTCAACATTTTTTTTAAGGTAAAAGTTAAGAGGAATTAAAGTTATGATATATATATATATATATATATAAGCAAAGAATTTGAATTAAATTAAACTAAATTAAGACCATCCACTTGTTTTATTTATTAGATAAAAAATATTTATTTTTTAAAAAAATTAATAAAAGAAATCGTTTATAAAGATTGACTTTTAATGCATAATCAACTTTTGAAGATTTGTTAACACTGTAATAAGTGTATGTTCATGTATGTGTGTGTTGTTGTTGTTTATCTTTTTTTTTTCATTTCTATAAAATAAAATAAAATTTTAAATTAATACATTTAACCTACGCAAAAAGGTCGTCTTCAATTTGATACCATATAAATTCATTGATTTGTATTTTTTACCAAAAAAATTAAAATAAGATTATCATATACACATCAAGTTATATACAATAAAAATCATAATAGTATGATTTTTTTAATTTATAATTACTACTATATTGGACTACTTTAATCATAAAGTATGACAAGTTTTATCTTTATGAAAGTATGAAACCAACTTTGTATCTACTAAATTGTATATGAACTCTAATTAAGTGATTTAATGCTAAAATTTACACTAACGATTGAATAAATCAAAAAATAATTATTTTTTAATATTTAAATAACTATATATTATTTTTAGTAATAAAAAATTTAAGCTCAAGCTTTAGCATGCACAACATATATATATATATATATATATATATATATATATATATATAATAAAAAATATGTCTATATTTTATATTTTAATATAAATAGATATATAAAAATTGTGTAATTAATGTAAAAGTTCATGAATTTAACTATAAGTACATCCATAGAAATTATTAAGATGATAAAATTTAAATATACTTAAATATATAAACATTAAAAATTAAAATCTCTAAAACTATATGTTTTAGAAATAATTCTACAAAATAAAAACCAAAAAATATAAAAGTGTGAGAGTATATAAAATATATATAATTTAAAAACATGACCAATGTAATCTATGGTTTTTTATGTACAATGTTTTATTCAATTATTATTTGTGTATATAAATTATTTAATTATTTTATGTTATGAGTTTAATCAATTCTTCATTTACAATTAATTGACAAAAATTTCTATTTTAAAATTTTATATGTTTATATACATTTATAAAAACTTGTGTTATTAAGATAAATATTAGTAATAATAAAATTCTTAGATATTTTAAAGGTATTCTTAAATAATATTTATATACATGTATGAACCTAAAAATATATAAATATATAATAATTTTTACTCAGGTCGATGATTATTTTATAATTGCAATAATTTAATTTGAGATTTATTAGTGGTTTTTTCAAATGCTGTTTTTAATATAATTTTTTTATAAGAAGTAATAAAGAATTAAAGATAGCAATAGAAACAATGGTATATTTATAAGAAGAATTGTCCTTTGTATCTTGCAATTAAAATTCTTCTTTTAATACTACAATTTACAATAATTGTAATAACTAAGCTAGAACCATTGCAAAGACCTCAACATGGAATAAGAGTTCTTAACAATGTGATGGAATGTACAACTTTAAGGTGTAACATCAATAGAGTTATTTTGTTAAACTTTAATGAATTTAAATGTGGAATTGGATTTGCATTTTTTTTGCTTTGTTCCATTATCTTGTATATGTACTTCTTATATCTGAATAAATTTGTAAGTCTTTCTAAATTATTGTATTATATTTTTTAATATATCATCAAATACACTTTTTTAATTAGATAATTTAATTAATATTAAAAACATATAATTTTTATTCTTTGACTTAGAAACCCTACATAAGTAAATTTTATTAAAAGTTCAAAAGTTAAGTTTATATTTACATGTTATGGTTTTCAATATATTAATTGTGTCCAAATCATTTTTAATCTATTATTAAAAAAACAGCAATAAACATGATTAGTATAAAACTTAATAATAATTATAAAAAATGATTTTAAATTTAAAGATGTTTTAGTTATGTAATTCATCAATTTTAGAAACATATAGACATTTTTTTAAAAAAAAATAATGTATCTTTGGAATTATTACAATTTTAAATATTAAACAAAAGCACCATAAATAACTAGTAATCCTTCATTTACAATCACATAATTCAAGTGATATACATATATATGCCAAAAATCTTAAGAATATTTCTAAATTTATTCAATGAAGGGTTATAAGATATTTCTTGTTTATCAATAAACAAGATGAATTATTATGTAGATTTGCAAAAAAATTTCTTTATGATTAAATAAGATGACTTGGTGTATATTAAAACAAATCTTAAACAATCTCTGTTTATAATTAAATACCAAATTTTCATTCTCAAGATGTGTTTTAAAGTCATTAAATTATTTTTTTTGTTATTTGATGAACTTGTTTTGAAAGATACAATTTAAAATGATATACAAACCATTTTATTTATTATAAATCTTAAAACATTGAAAATATACAATGTTGTATTGCATACCAAATTTGATTTAATTTACTTTATATATCTACATTGCATAACAAATTTCTCGGTACTTTTTGACCTATAATATAATTTACATTAATGTGTTGCTATTATCCCAATTATGTTTAAATGGTAGAATAGTTGAATATTTGGTATTAAATTACAAAAAGTGTCAAATTCATTGCATGCATTATTAATAGTAAACAGAAGAAGAATCATTCTTTATTTTCAAGTTATTTATTTTAATATCTTAATTACATTATTCTATAATAATATTTATTACACATTTGTGTGCTTTTTTCTAATTTAATTTAGTATCTTCCAAATAAATATATTTTTTGTTGCTTTAAAAACTTCCATAAGTTTGTGTGGTAATTTTTTACAATATGATTTAGTTAAGTTTTTATTATTTCTTTAAAAAGCTTTAAAAACATAAATATTATCAGATTATTATATACACACCTCTTTTAATTAGCTTTCAATTTTAGTAACATGATCTTATTTGCATTAAAATTATGAGCCATTTTGTTCCTTCAATGCAAGAAAAATAATGTAATGAAATAATAGATAAATTAGAAGCTCTTTGTGCCATCTTACAACCATGTCATATATTCTTCTAAATTACTTTCTATATCTAATTATATATTAGATATAGAATTGCAATTTCATGTAGTATTGGAAGATTATAACTATTTATAATATTAATTTATTTCAAAAATAATATTTCACACACATGGCTTCACATCCCACTTCAAATAGCTAGTATATTATAGCAAGGCTTCACATCCATCTTAAAATAACTAGTATATCATAGCACATAATATTATAAGTATCTCATAAATTTATATCATAATATCACAATCTAGCTCCTTGTCGTTCTCTCTTATTGCTCCTAAAGTCAACTTCCAACAACAAATGCAAATAATGATCTTAAATCTTTAATCACTTTCATTGTATGTTTCTGTTGCAACAATAAATATATAAGTCCACTCTTGTGTTTTGTTTGTTTGTTTACTTTTCTTTTCTTTTCTTTTTTCCTCACATCATTGTCTTATTAGGTAAGATCAACTTCTATTGCAAAATGGAATTCAACTTTCCAAGAGATATAACTTAATCCTAAAATTGAACCTAATCTTCAATTATTCTTCAAGATTCACTTTAGCATCTAAAGCAAAAACAATGTGGTTTTCAAAAAATTAGTTGTATGAGTTTGTAACAAGTTTTTGAAAAGTCAACATTATATTAATTTCTGTATTTTGGAGTTAGAAAATCAACACACATTATTCACCCAGCAATGTTGAAACAGGTTTTAAATACTACGTAGCAAATAGCTTATACACAGAAAACCCAACAATGAATTCTTTATTTGCATATGTGTATGTCTGTGCGTATATACATACATAGACACTTACTAAGTTAGAAAGGAATCAAATGTGAGTTCATGATTGTTTTAAAAGGCCAAACCCAAGCTCTCCATTTCTACAATACCTTTAAAACTTCAGATGAATTCAATCTACCAGGCAATTTTACAGTACTTACCTCAGTCGGTGGTATGTTACATCCTCTCTCAACTGATCAATGGGCCGTCTGCCGAACCAAGTGGATTCAACGTTCAACGAAACAGAGCAACTTAAGGATTTAAAAAGAACGAGAAGAATTCTTCACACCACCTACGGACGAGCATTCACTTAACCCAAGAAGTCATGATCCTACGCTGGGCCAATATTTGAACCTGAGAGACACTACAAGCTCTCATTTTGCGGAATTCAGGAGGACGGCAAGAGAAGTCACGATAACAGCAGTTAATGCAGGAGACCGTATATCGATTATAGAGAACTGGACTTCAATTCGACACAAGGTGCTGAAACAATATACAAGTTTTCAGGCCGAAGCGTCTCAAGAAGAATGCCAAGCTGATGCAGCTGAACACACAAATTTGATCACCCTGACCTGCGATTCATCCTAATCTGACCGGATGCTAACATTGTCTTTACCTGCTTTACAGATGACCTTGTGTGCGCTGAACTGTCTTTCTAAATCTTGTAAAAGAAGCAGGAAGCACTGAATAACTCCAGTCTTGATATTTTATGTGAAACAAACAGTAATTCCCTTCATGGGTAAAATGCACAACAGTGGTCAGAGGAACCCATGTACGTAAGGGGGGGTCTAGTGCTCCCTCTTCTCCTTCTTCTCCCTCGACTCTTTTCTCCTCCCATGTCCCTTGTCGTCTTCGTGTTCCCTTCTTTCCCTCGACTCTTGTCTCTTCACGTATTGCTCCTTGTTTTCTGTCTCTCTCTTTTCTCTGGGCTCTTTTCTCCTCTCATGTCGTTCGCTGTCTTCATGCTCCCTCATCTCTCTCGACTCTTTTCTCCTTTCATATCGTTCATCGTCTTCGTGATCCCTCATCTCTCTTGATTCTTTCTTCCTGTCCTGTCGTTCCGTGTCTTCTTCATGCTCCCTCCTCTCTCTCGACTCATTCTTCTTCACATGTTTCTCCTCATTTTCTGCTTCCCTCTTCTCCTTCAAGTCTTTTGCCCTTACATGTCGTTCATCGTCTTCATGCTCCTTCCCCTCTCTCAATTTCATTTTGTTATGATGGCGCTCCTGTTCTTCCTGCTCCCTCTTCTCCCTTGCCTCCTTTCTCTTCTGACGTAGCTCCTCTTCTTCCTGCTCTCTTCGAGCCTTGCGCTCACGTTTTCTCTGCCTATGTTCTTCCTCCTCTTGCTCTCGTTGCCTTAGCTTTTCTTGGCGGCGCAGCTCTTTCTTCTGTCGCTTTTCTTCCTCCTCAATGGCAGCCAGCTTCGCACGCCTCTCTCGATCTTTTTCTTCCCGTGCCATTATTCGCTCCTGCTTTTTCTGTTCTTGCAAATCTCGATCAAAAGCCTCACCCTCCTTAACCTCCTTCAACCCTAGAGCATCTCTCATTGTTTCCAATTGCTTCTCTTTTTGCGCAGCGATGTGATGGCTTTGCGTTGAGTTCACTCTGGACACACAGATGCAACGTTAAACACACCAATATTTGCCTAATTGGTAAGTTACTTAGAAATAGATGCAGCGAAGTCTAAACTACGCATTTATCGTAGAGAGCATGCTGTACAATGTCCACAAGTAAAGCAATTCATGCTCAGAGCAATACTAAGCAACATGATGTTCCTAATGTCAGACTAGAAGAACTTCCCCAACTTGTCAATTACAAGAAGAAGCTCCCAAGGACGTAGCAACTTCCAACACAAAAACCTACACCAACATCGAAAATTAGGGAATAGGAAATACTTAGAATCGGCCCCGGCAGGCGCATCATCGCCATCCTCTGCATCCGCGGCCTCCAAACGCTTGCGCAAAGCTTCCACGCGCTCCAACACTTCCTCGTCGGGGTAACCCTGATCCACCAGCTGGTCCTCCAGCTCCATCAGCTTGAGCTCGATGCGCCTCTTGCGATCATGCTCCAAAATGTCCTTGTTCGCTTTGCGCAACACTCCGCCTGCACCCTGACCATTCTGAAACTCCTTCACCTCCGACCGCACGGGGCGCGACTTCACGAAGAACTTATTCGTTTGAATGTAGCCATTGGTACCGGATCCTCGCGGCGTCGACAACCCAATCCCATTATACATTGTGAAAAATTGCACTAATTCTGTACGCACGCACAAAACTTCGACGACGAAACCCCCTCCTCTTCCTCTTCTTATTCCTCCTCCTCCTCCTCCTGAATCAAAAGCAAGCAAAGAGTCCAGCTATGGCAGAAACCCTAAAATGCAGCACCCAACAAACCCTGTCAGGAGAGCACGCAGATAGACGGTGGTGGGTGGGGTCTTCGAAATGGGTCTTCGAAACGGGTCTTGGTGATGGGCGACTTCATGCCCTGCGACTTCGCGGGGGTCTTGGACTCAAACCCCTCCTCAAGAAGAACAACAAAAACTCGACGGTGGAATTGGCGCTCCAGCTTCTTTCTTTCTTTTTATGTTTATGTCATTTATTTCTTCTTAATTATTCTTTGTATCATTTACTTACCTAAATTTTCATGTGTTAATAAATTATAACGTGGTTCAAAATAAATATTCTCTAGATTTAGTGAACTTTTGTCATTATTCATATTCTTGTTCATTGCATTTCACTGTAAAGCTCAAAACTTTGATGGTGTGTTTTATTTTTTTATTTTTTATTTATTTGTTGGAAATTTATTTCGAGTTATTATTACTCACAAATCTTTATTTTATTTTTTAATTATTTTAGTGATAATACAATAAATATATATATATATATATATACAATTACAACTCAATAGATTGTTATTCAAGCCACCATACATTGGATCTCCATCATTTGGTTTGTATTAACATCTTTCATTGAATCAATTAAGCAACTTCCTAGTAGAATTATATTTGTCAAATTATTTTTTTATTAAAAGATTTACTCTTTACTTGATATGTACCTTGCACATTGTACAAAATTCAACAAATTTTATTGATTAATGTCAATACAAGAAAACACATGTTTTGCTACCCTGCTTTAGAGATGACACACATTACATTGACAGATGTTTATGATCTATATAAATTCTACATCTCATGTTGATTTTATGTAGACTGAATCTATTTATTCATTTTCAAAAGCATTCATCAAATTGCATCCATAGTTAATTATTACCACAAGAATGAAAAAATTTGTTTAATTTTATTATCAGCAAACTTTGCCCGGCACTTTATTTTACTATCACAACTTCAAAATTTTAATTGTGTAAATCAGCTCTTAAGCATATCTCTACTTCACATATGTATATAAATATGTATAGGGGAATGTAAAATAGACCCATGCTTTTATTAAATAGTCCCATACTTGATGAAGAAAATGGCAATCATGATGAATGTGATTGGTTTTTATTGGTTGCAGATCCAATAGTGGAGAAATGAATCTAGAGGTTATTTTTATTTTTCATGATGGGTGAATCTATTTAATAAAAACTTGGATCTATTTAACATTCCCCTATATATATATATATATATATATATTTGGTGTGTGTTTTTGAACTTTGTTGATAATATGATTTTTTCCTGAAAGGAGAGTAGATTCTTGACCATAGCAATGAAAGAATTTAAAAGAATTTAGTTTTAGTTTTCGAATTACCGTGTGGTTATAAAGTATTATGCACCAATAATTTACAACATAATTTACGAGGAGCTCCAGCTCAGCTCGTCCACGTCAGATCTCAAGTCCACATCAGATGAGGAAGAGTCGAAGGCGATGACGATTGCACCGACAAGTATTGGAGTGGCGGAGAGCTCTCGGCGACCACCGCCCTCCTGCGATCCCGAATTCAATCGGAATGGAAATGGATCAGCTCAGGCTGCAACTCTACAATTGAGCAGATTACGTGCGGAATTGGATTTTGGGTACGCATCGTTCATGACGATGCTTTTGTTGCCCGCAGTCTCATCCAATGCGGCATCCCTCAAGCTGGCTGTGTCTTCACCGTTGCTGCGCAACCTAGTTTGGTATGAAATTGCGGGCATTTGTAATCGTAGGGTGGAGCCGGGGTGGGGCAGAAAGAATAGGTCGTCGCCAGTTCGGAGGATGGCCGCCGCCGCTGCTGCTGTTGACGGTAGTTCGGCGTCAACTGGATTGCGAGAGATGGAAAGGGCGGCGACCATGTCGAAGCCGAAGGTGCCCGTGCTGCTGCTTGATGTGATGGGCACCCTCGTCCGGGATCCATTCTATGAGGACATTCCTGCTTTTTTCGGGTAACGGGTCTGTTCGTTTCTCCTAATGTGCAATTTGGTTGCGTGTTGCGAGGGTGATGAGTCGGAATTTGGGCACTGTTAGCATGGGTTTCAGTCAGCGAACTAAGACTTTATGCCAAGGATATGGGCTGGTGCAATTTTCGAAGTGGGTCACGAGACAATGAGAATGTCCGAATAGACCCACCAAGACGCTAAGCCGTCTTGTGAACTGTGCAGAATGACTATGAAGGAGTTGCTAGCTGAGAAACACCCCACTTGTTGGATAGAGTTTGAAATGGGCCAATTGACTGAGGATGAGGTAATTAAGAAGTTCTTTGCCGATGGACGAGATTTCGACATTCAGGGTGGGTTCCTTGCCATTCTTCCAAACAGTGTGTCAGAGTTTAGTGAACTTTTTTTTATTCCCGAATTTGAAGCAAAATTTAGAGTTCTGATTCTGAAATGCTGATATCACCGTGTGGATGGTAGGGTTGAAGGAGTGTATGACAAAGGGATACACTTATTTAGAAGGAGTGGAAGAACTATTGCAACGACTGCTCTCCGCCGGGTACACCATGCATGCCTTCTCCAATTACCCTTGCTGGTACAGTATGATTGAAAACACGCTCCAGCTCTCGCAATATATGCCTTGGACATTCGTTTCCTGTCACATGGGTACTATATCTATAACCCTAACAATCATTTTTTGGTATCGGATCCACATTAGCGTTTTTAAATAATGGGCACACTTGGATTCTGTGGATATTAGACTGGAGGACGTTAACTTCTTTTTCCAATGAACGTCTCCATATTTTTTCGCTTCAGAAGTTGCCTGTGTTGAACTATGATTTTCTTGTATCGCTCCTGTCTGCAGGATTGAGGAAACCTGACTTAGAGATATATCTCGAGGCTGCTCGTCGGTTGAAGCTCGACCCATCGGACTGTGTTTTCGTTGATGACAGGTGATAGATTGAGGCTTGTCGGCCTGGAATTTGTGTTTTGTTTTGTTTTGTTTTGTTTTTGTTTTGTTTTGTTTTGTTTTTGTTTTTTTGTTTTGTTTTGTTTTTTTTTTTTTTTTGTTTCCTCCTGTTTTATCTTCTGAATCATGTCCTAAGACATTGTGATGGGAGAAAGCTGATAGCAGTTAAATCCATGCAGAGCTAAGAATGTGGAAGCTGCGATGGCAGTTGGGATGAAGGGAATCGTATTTCGGAACGCTAAACAGTTAGAAGAAGAGCTTGCTGCCCAAGGATGTTGCTTGTGAACTATGTAATCATCTGCACTGGTGGAAGATACTATGCTCGGCTGTTTGGTCCGCGATGGCAAAATTGAAATTTAGACGTCAATTCTTATGTCGATGCAATTGCACCATCTTGACAGGATTTATTTATGAGAAGTAAATGGGTTATATGCAACTGAGGAAATTTTAGGCTTCAAGTAGATCGAAAATTCTTTGAAGTGGGTCATTCCATTATAAAATCAATGTCGTTGAGCCTTTTTCAGTTGGAAAGAATGTAAATATTCTCTAATTGTGTTGGGAAACCATTGTTCAGAAAACCTTGTGATGTTTTGTTCATTGATCTTTGCGATTTGTATATAAACACATGCGACTCGTGGTTCCGACCGTTTAAAAGGTTTTGTCGTGAAATTGTTTCGGGACATTCTAGATCACTACTGATCATCATGATTCATGTATTGCAACAGATTTAAAATTTTCTATGAAGCTAAAATATGTGCATAAAAATCCAGAAAGACTTATTCCCATTTCCAGAAACCTTCATAACACACATTTGACAAAATCAGCTATACACAACCAGTTGGCAGGCGGAGCACAGAACAAAAGAGACTTCACACGCCTGGGCATCGACAGGACAGGATAAGTCACATGTCAATCGTTAGATCTGATAAACACATCCACCAACTGCAGAATCTACATCGACAGAAGCCTACATCCACCAAACCTCTCACCAAAATAGCATATCTTGTCAAGAAGCAAACAATATACGAAATCTGCTAAAAGTCCAAAAGTAGCTAATGAAAGATATTGAGAAAAGGAATCTTTCACCGACGCTGCATGAAAGCGGATTTAAGTACAATATTCCGTAGGGCGGGCAGCCCTGCCACAACCAAGTACTGTAATGTAAATTGCATGGGACAAATAATGTGCCACAATGAGAAATCTCACTATATCCATTTGTTCACCTTCTGAAAGCATTTCTCTCGTTTTCTGCACTTGACCTCTCAATAAAGTGTGCCCGCCTTTTTACACTCTTTTCGATTGCGGAAGCACTCACTCCCTCTGATCCAAACATACTTTTCTGCGTATCAGCTATGAATTGCTCATTCGACTTGTCATTTATTGTACGCTTAATTTCGACAGCATCTGCGTCTGCAGCACGTTTCAAACGTTGCCACCTCTGCTCCTCATGAATATCAGCATTAACTTGCATCTCCCGCAATCGTGCAGCCCTCTCTGCATCCGACAGTTGCCCAGGCTTGGGAGGTCTTCCTCTACTCGCTGGCTTTGAGAGAACGTTTTCACTATTTATGTCCTTCCTTCCGACTACCTGATCTTCAACAACCAGCCTTTTCTCTATCGCATCTAATTTAGTGTTTCTCAAATCATCTACAGAGCCATTACTTGGGGACTTGATTTTCCTTTCTGGTTCCTTAGTGTACGGAAGCTTGGTGTCTCTATCTTCGTACCTTTTTGACCTTTGATCACTAAGATGGAGTTCCTTGTATCTTTCATCACCTTTAGAAGGAGCCTTAGAATCAAATTCACCTCTTCTTAATCCACTCTGACCGTAATCCCTCCTGTGAACAGGACTGCTGCTTGGACTCCTGGATGGGCTCCTGTGTGAAACTCTCTTCCTTTTAACATGATCTCGATCTTCGGGCCCTTTCAGCCTTCCGTCACTGTCCCTGTGTTCCAAATACCTACCTTCGCCCGAGTAAGGACCCCTAGAAGCGAAATTATCTCTCCTCGATCTATCTAGGTCGTAATCCCTTTGTGTAGATTTTCTGCTCGGACTTCTAGATAAGCTCCTAGATTGAACTCGCTTACCCTTTCCATAATCACGATCTTCAGACCCTTTCTGTCTCTGATCACTGTCCTTGTACTCCCCATACCTACCTTCGCGCGTGTAAGAATCTCTGGAATTAAAATCGCCTCTACTCGATCTACCCGGGTCACGGTCTTTTCGAAGAGGAACCCTCCTAACAGGACTTCTGCTTCGACTTCTGGATGGGCTCCTAGATGGAACCCTCTTCCTCTTTTCGTAATCACGATCTCTAGACCCGTTAAACCTCTGCTCACGATCTCTGCGAACAGGACTTCTCTGAACAGCCGCACTCCGAGTAAGGCTTCTGCTGGGACTCCTCGACGGGTCTCTCGTTCTCTTTTCAAATTCTTGGTCTTCAGACCCTTTCGACTTCCGGTCACTAATCAATTTCCTTGGGCTTTGGCGACGATCATTTCGAACGGGACTGCTGGTCGGACTCCTGGATACGCTTCTGGATAGAACACGGGCCCTACTTGTATGACCACCATCAGCATCAGCATCAGCATCCGAACCATGCCCAAGCTTCCTACCTTTTCGAGGATCGTCTGAATCAGAGGAGTCTTCACTGCTGCTTCTGTGCTGCTTTTTCCGTTTCTTCTTTTCTCTGCGCTCCAGCTTAGCCTCTTTACGTTTCTTTTTCTTCTCTTCCTTCAGCTTTTTCTTCAACTCGGCCTACAGATTCAACATAATTAGAACAACTCCTTCTACTTGACCACAACCCGTATCCTAGAACACGTTCTTACAAGTTAAATAAGTCACGCACAGAACATCATCCTTGGCATTGAAAGTACACTTACAGCTTTTTTAATCTGCGCCATCTTGACTGGATTGCTCTTTATCTTGGCAATTGCTTCTTGCTCACGTTGCCTAATCGCGAAAAGGGGATCTGAGTGCAGCTTCCTCCACGAATCATTTGCTGAGGCAGGTTTTTCTTCAACAAATAATGCGCCGGGTTTAGCTGCAACCTGCAGTAATTCACATTTGTGAAGATAAATATCAAATTAAACTCTTCTCAACAGACCAATGAAAATTACGTTGCAAGCACAATTTCCTGCAAATAGTTGAAGGATTCAGGGTTATAAGCTCTCACCTGTCCAACATTACTTTCAGGTTGTACAGCTTCTTCCACAGGTTTTCCTAGCAAATATTCATCTGCTTGAGCAACCTTTCCAACCTGAAGACCAGAATCATACAAAAACTCCAGCCGCTCCTGCTTTCTGCAATCCCAAAACCCTCAACAATTCAGCATGAATGCCATCTACAGTTAGCCGATTCCCGTGAAAACATAAGAGACTGCCGAAAAGCAATGTGTCCCGCATCCATCATGCCGATACTTAAAGCCCGCAGCTATCCTCAAAATTGAATAAGCATAAAATAAGCCTACCAAATACGTTAACCCAAAATCCTCCAAAAGCTGACGGTACTGTATCCTGCTCCAAAATTGGTCTCGGAAAAGAAAAGAAAAGAAAAGAAAAAAAGAAAAACGAAAACCCTAATAGCAACAGATCTGAAGAACACAATATCTTTGACGCATAAAATTCGAACCTGTTCATATCCAAACAAAAATCCTAAGCTCATACTTCCAGAATGAGAAACAAAAACTGCAGAATCAAACGCGGGGAAGCAACATCTCCAACTCTTTCACAAAAACCGCCCAGATGAACATTAAGCAACCAAAACTCGTTAAAAGGTCAGGAATCACGTACGGGACCAAGCCGGCTTGCTCTTGCATGAGACGAAACTCCGACTTCTCACGCTCATCCTGAATCTGCTTGCGGAGCTCCTCGAGTTTCTTCTGCTCGTTCTCATGCTTCTGCTCTGCCTTCCACACCGTTTCGATATTCCTTAAACTCCCCGTGTGCCATCCTTTCTTATTCAAAAACTTGAGCGCCATCTCTCAAACAAACTAGCCAATCAAAACAATCGACGACACCCTTCAAACCCTCCCAAACCCTCAAAACCCCAACCCTCCTCGGTCCGTCCAGACACAATTTCTTTCTTCCTATTCCCCACAAAAATAATCCTACAACGAGGTGCTGTCCGTTCTAATTCCAATTCCAGGGGGGGTGCGGCATAAACATCGCCATCGCAGACTGATCCACACCACCAGCCACACCACGTTTCTTCGCAACTAACAGCGAAGCCTCGGCAACTCAACGTCGTCGACTCTCGGCAAGGCCTTCAGAACCACCTCGTTCCTGGAAACTGCGACCGCGTGATTGCCGCCAGTGTGAACAGATACTGATTGAAACTGGTTCCATGGTTCCACTGCCATGACATTCTGAAGCCCTCTGTAACCGTTTCGTGGCCCAGTTCAACGCGTTCGCAAGGTGAGCACGCCTGTTCCGGGCAGAACAAGCCTCCGAGACCGAACTTAGTGGGAGGTATAGTAGAACCTTGCTATTTATCTAACTCATGTATTCTATGAGTTGTATGACATTAGCAACATTAAATGACCTTTTTGGCGCGATGAAGTATGTATAAATTAATGGGTACTTTTATCTATCAAAACATCATATTTGAGAATTTAACATGGGTTCCATGAGGTGATTTAGTTAATTATATTTAATTTACGGGATATAAATGTGAATATATATAATGTGCATCAATTTATATATATATATATATATATATTCATTTACTTGACTTCCAGGACACTGTAACATGTTTTCGAACCAGTCTAAACGTAAAGCTTCAATTGGTTTGAATCAAACGCAGTGAACGAATCACCAGAAGGAACATTAAAATTACTGGAAAAATAACACACAACCAGTAATTGAATTTGTTTTCGGGAAATAGATGATATCACATCTTATTCTATCTGATATAAAAAAATCAAAAGTTATTCTATAATGTTGTTTAAGCATTTCTTTAAATGAATTCGTGCAAGTTTATTGTGACATTCCTTTACTGTGACATTCAACTACACTAACCGAGAGTTATTTAAAATTACTCCATCACCTTCGAGTAGCTTACAACTGAGGCGATTTCTGAGGACGACATGGCTTTCGATATAGCTCTCAGTAATTATTATTATTATTATTATTATTATTTAATTTTCAAGTTTAATGATGATAGTAGGATACTTTTGACTTATGTGCATGCCTGCATACCAAAAGCCACTTCAAAAAAAAAACTTATAAAAATAATATATATATATATATATATAAAATTTCATGAAACACATAGGCTCATTGTTTATTGCATTCTCTAAGCAGTTTAGTGGACACTGGGGCAGCAGATTCCAGAAGTTAGTCCAAAAGCAAAAGTAACAGAGGAAAAAAAAAAATAAAAAAAAAGAAAAAGTAACGATTCCAAAGTTACGTAAGTGGTCCTGGCACCCACCACGTGCCCTGCCAATCCATGTACGAACGAACGAACCGACGGACGGACGGACGAACGGACGGACGAAAAACAAACGAACCGACGAACAGAAGCGATGGCAGGAGGATGGATGTACGCCCCTGCTTCCACACACTGTCCCACGTTGGCATGCAAGGGCTTGTGGCTCCCATACGTGTGTGAATTTAACGACAGATACGCGGAAGAGTACGTACGTAAGTACGTAAACTCGTCGTGGAGATGGGATACGAATACATATAGGGGAGGCAGGGCAGGGCAGGGCTAGTGGGAGGTTTGAGGCCAGAAGGGCGAAAGGGCCCTTCTGCTCAGTTTCGCACGCCACATGCGACTCTCCATTGCTATTCCAGCCCAACCCAGCCTAGCCCGGCCCACTCCACTCCACTAGCAGTGACAGACAGATCACGTTTGACTCGACGCTCAAGCCCGAATCTCTCGATGTGGTCCGTCGCGCGAGAGGGCCGTGCCATCCGCTGCCTACTTGCCTCCCATTTGCGCTTCGTCGCGGTGCAAATGATGGTGGTTTGAGTTCGATCTCGAGGTTTTTGTCACCGTTTTGCGGTTGGAGTGTGTGTGTGTGTGTGTGTGTTTCGCCGAAGCTGAGGGGCGTGGTTGGTATCTGTTCGGCGGCCATGTGGTGGTGGGGTGCGGAGACGTCACGGTTGGGTTGGCGAGTGTCGTTAATTCCTTGACTTGGTAGCACTTTTGTAAAGGGAGAGGTTGGATGAGGGTCGTATGGCGGCGGCGGGAGCTTGATCTGGTGATTTCTTGGAGGCAGGGGTGCGATTACTTGGGTTGTGGTGGAATTGGACACATTTTTTATGAGATAGGTTGGTTTGGAGTGTGACGGGGTGGAAGAGTTATGGATGGGAGTCTGGTGTGACACAACGGTGGCAGAGATGGGATGAGGAAAGTGTGAGGGTTGGAGCGGGTCTCTCTCTCTCTCTCTCTCTCTCTTTTTTTTTTTTTTTTTTTTTTTTTTTTTTTGTAGTTAAGGTGCATGCTTTCTTTCAGTGTATGGTAATGATGATGGAAACTCAAGTGCCGAGCTTCTGGGACGCCGGGGACTCGGCCATGATCGAGGCGTTCATGGGACCGGCTTATGGAATCCCAAGTAGTTATGAGGTACAGGATGATTTGGCAAGCACAACCGAGAAGGGGCTGGAACTGAGTGAGACTGTGCTGCTTAGGAGGTTGCACACACTGGTTGAGGAGACCTCATCAAATTGGACTTATGGAATCTTCTGGCAGCTCTCAAGGTCACCATCTGGAGAGCTGTAAGTCAAGACAGGATCTGATTTATTTATTTATTTATATGTATATTTGTATTTATTTTCCTTCCCCACACAGCACTATGTGACGCGCGCATACCTGGGTATTGTATGCCTCCTGGGCTCTAAGATTGAGCAGATTAGTTTCCAAGTCCTAAGTTTCACCGAACTTGAAGAGCTCCCTCACGAACTCATCAGCATATACCTTTTGCCCCCACTTTGGCTTCCGACGCTCTTGTGTTTATTGTATCATTCGTAATGAACTGAAGCTAGAAGTCCATCAGAGGTAGAAGCTCTGTTGGCGCCTTTTGCGTATTATACTGCATATCCACCCATGAACTCTTCCCTTTCATACATCCTGGGGCCTTTCAGGAATGGATTCCGTATCTTTCATGTACTGGGATCTTGCGTTAATGGGTATCGTTCAGGGAGATCGGCGTCGGAAGGCCGAGTGCTGGGATCCTGGTTCTATCTCCGTCCGATACTTTTTTTTTTCCTGTCCACATTCAGATAACATTTGAATTTACTATTGTATTTTGAAGAAAACCCCTTCCCTGGAATGGCCAAACCAGAGTCTGTCGACGCAGGAAATGGTCAATTCTGGCCTGTTGCACACCAGAATGCCACTCCTTAAAGACATACCGAAACATATGATAGTTATGACGTATGCCTGTTGTTTTACCGACAGAGTATCCATCGAAATATGTTTGCAGGTCTGGGTTCTTGAACCTGAAACAACAATATGAATGATAGGAATTCCTCCTTTCTTCAAACTTGGTTTTGATGGGTTGACGATGGGTTATTTCTAAATTATACATCACTTTAGTACCATATTTTGTATTTAATTTACGTGGGGAGAGTGTTAATGTGATAGTGTTGGCTGTTGCAGGATGTTGGGGTGGGGTGATGGGTACTTCAAGGGGCCGAAAGAGAATGAAATTTCTGAGAAGCGTATAGATCAGGGAGGTAGTGAAGAGGACCAGCAACTGAGACGGAAAGTGTTGAGAGAACTGCAGTCTCTCGTGAGCAATACTGAAGAGGACGTTAGTGATTATGTAACAGATACAGAATGGTTCTACCTTGTCTCTATGTCGCACTCATTTGCGTATGGTGTGGGGTAGGACATTAAACCTATTTACTCTTTTTTCTAATTATTTGGTTACAATAACAGGGCTTCTCAGTTGAGTTAATAATTTTCCACGACGCTAGACTTTATTATTTGAAGATGGTTTTGTTTCAACTCTCTTATTGCAGGCATGGTAATGTATTTTTGATGCAGGACTCCGGGCCAAGCACTGGCAACTGAAAGTCCTGTGTGGCTTACTGAGGCAAACAAGGCCCCCAATCATATTTGTACACGAGCTCATTTAGCCAAGGTATACCTTTACTGCTCTCTTTATTGGTGGATTGTGTGGAGTTGTAGTAGCTTAGGAAAGTCACTTCTAGGTGTCATTTTTTAATAACTCGTTCCAGGATTTATGAATAATGACAACATCTTTGCATGCACCAGCTGCACTATTTTGTGAAAACATAGTTTGAACTCATTCATCCTTAGCTGTTCTGGGATACCTTTTTGCGGATGTCTACGTCGAACCCGTCCACCTGTTTGTCACAGTTTGTAGTCAAACTACAGTCCCAGTGTCTTTCTTCTCCGTCTGTCTGTGTGTTCCACTATTAGTAATTTCTGTAGGATTTAAACTTCTAGGCTGCTATGATCATACCAGAATATACTTTTACACGGAAGCCTACAAATTTCTTGAGCGATTGACTTAAAAAAAAAGCACGAGAAGTTTTGAACTGACTATGTTCTGGTTGGTGACATTGTTTTCTCTCATGGCGCTTCACCGAATGCAGATGGCTGGTATCCAGGTATTGACAGGACCCTAGCATTGTTTGTTCTAGACTTGTGATGTGAGACATGTTAGTTTTTTTGACATCACTGCTGAAGGTTTGATAGTGGAATTTATCTTCAAATGCATCCTGCCACTGATGACGAGACTATGAACAGTTTTCTGGAGCGATTCTAGTCAGATTCTAATTCATTATTTTTCTTCCGTCTGCAGACAATCGTCTGTGTTCCTACAAGAACTGGGGTTGTTGAGCTTGGATCTACGGATTTGGTGAGTTCAACTGAACTGAAATTCTACTTATCTTTGGGCTCCACAATATATCCATTAAAATATAGTTTGGTTTCCAACCCATCATTACCCCTGGCTGAAAATTTTGTACTATTGGATGCTATTTCAATACAAGGTGAAATCTATTCACTGATTTAGAATGCTTGGGATGGGATAAGAATGCGTTCAAGTTCAGTTTGTCCCGATTGGTAGTAGCGTATGTTTTGCTGTCACATAGTTGATAAACCTATAATTAATCAAATTTTACGATTATTTGAAGGATAGAATTTGTTTGATTGTGTTATCGGAGCTTCAGAATAAAGTGTAGATTGTCTTGTAATTTACACAGGTTTCTCAACGTTGAAATATGCCAAGGCCATATCTTCAGTAGATGAAACGGCGAGGTAGAACTTTGTAGATAGTATTGGGAAAATTAGAAATGCCGTCTATCTTGCTTAAATATACTCTCACATGTTAGTCTAAATATTTCATTTTGCCGTTGACTGCAGTTCTGCAAGCCCTGTAGTAGCTCTATCCAAGTTCAAAAACGAGCGTTATAAAATTCCTAGGAAGCTCCCGCATGAAATATCTCTGGGTCCATGTTTAGTATTAGGCTGTTTCTTGGAATTTTCGTTTTTACCCTTGGAGCCCGTTAACATGTCGATCTTTTTACTTCCTTGCAGATAAGTCAAAACATGGACGTTGTTCACCATATAAAGATGGTATTTGATGAACCATTTTGGGGAGCAAATCGAAGTCAAGTTATGGCTCAATCCTTGCTTATGGACAGCGATGCGACTTTCTTCCCTCCAAGTCCAAGTATCATGTCGATGGGCACCACAAGTGCGTTTGCATCAAGCCCCAGCGTAGCTAGTAGAGGCTCTACTCTTGGTAAAGATCATGAATCACATTATAGAGGGAGGAATGTGTCAGTCGAAAAGATTGGTTCCTCAATGGCAAGCACTAGCTTTGATACTTTGGACTATATGTGGCAGCAATCAGACGAAATGCAATTTAATGATGGAGTATCAGTTGGTACTACTGAGAAGGACCAAGGACAATCACGTTTGTATTATCCTGTTTTGGGACCACCTGTTCTGGTAGAGAAACTTCCATTTTCTGCCACTAGTTTGATAAGTAGAACCAGGGCAGCAGAAGTGAAGCATTCAAGCATGCTTCAGAATGTTGAAAAGTTGGCCTCTGAAGATCAAAAGCCTTCATCACTACCACATATCAAGGTACATACTACACACTCCTACCCCGAAAAGACTGGTGCTGGGGAATTGAGCCAGGTTTTAAGTACCCCAGATCTCAGACAATCGATAGAGATGAAACTTCCAGCGCAAGTAGAAACCAGGCGTGCTCCCGGAATAACTGGGGGCGCTACGAAGCCTGTGGCTGAGAAAGCCAAACCTGTTCCTAAACCTCCTCAGCAACAACAGACGGCGATATCAGGACCTCCAGCTAGCGCAAGTGGGCGTTCAAGTTTTGATCAGTCAGAGCATGATTCCTTTCAAGAATCAGAAGCTGAGATCTCTTTCAAGGAGAGCAGCGCAGTGGAGTTCAGTTTAAATGTTGGTACAAAACCTCCTCGAAAACGGGGTCGAAAGCCAGCCAATGACAGAGAGGAGCCCTTAAGCCATGTGCAAGCGGAAAGGCAGAGAAGGGAGAAGCTCAATCAGCGATTTTATGCTTTGCGAGCTGTGGTGCCAAACGTTTCCAAAGTGAGTCTTCGTTTCTTTTACTGCATGTTATATGTACTAGATGACTGAGGCTATACATATGACTCACAACTCGTGCTCCGAATCATATTATTTGTTCGTGTGTTGAACTCTTGCTAAATTTTGCTTTGTTTTGTTTTGTTTTTGCCTTTTTTTTCTTTTTTTTTTTTTTTTTTTTTTTGACGTTAATCAATTTCCAGTTTGTTGTCTTTTGACGTAAGATCTTTAAATGACTTTTGTGGTTTGGTGTTGGACATCAGATGGACAAAGCGTCGTTGTTGGGCGATGCTATTGCATACATTAATGAGCTTACGAGCAAGCTGCAATCGGCAGAGGCTCAAATCAAAGACCTGAAAGGTCATGTGGTTGGTTCGAGTGACAAATCACAAGAATCACTTTCGATTGCAAGGGGTTCTATGGATAACTCGACTATAGATGGGTTGAGCATAAGACCACAAGGGAGTGTTAACAGCACCTCGATTTCTGGAAATGCACCAAGTGGGACGAAACCTACTATTGCAGTGCACATTCTTGGGCAAGAGGCTATGATTCGTATAAACTGTTTAAAGGACTCTGTTGCCCTTCTTCAGATGATGATGGCATTGCAAGAGTTACGTTTGGAGGTTCGGCACTCAAATACCTCCACCACGCAGGACATGGTTCTACACATTGTAATTGTGAAGGTGAGACTTTATTTCGTAAGTAGCGGTTATTTTCGTCTCGAAGAACTCTTTTTGTTTTTGGTCCAGCTTCGTATGTGGAGTGGATAGTTTTAGAAGTTAAACTGTCGGCTTTTGTTTTGCAGATTGAGCCAACTGAACATTACACACAGGAGCAGCTATGTGCGATACTGGAGAGGTCATGTCAACCCTACAGCTGTTCTACCAAGGATGAAGGTCACGGGCTTTCAGAAAAGCTAGGTTCATCAAGACGATCTCAATAATCCCTTGTCTTGGATCTCACCCTTGCCGTCTATCAATGCCTGATACTATGATTAAGTTTGCCCTTGAGGGGCTTGGAACAGAAATTTTGTCCAAAGTTGCAGTTATCAATAATTTGAGTAAGTTTTTTCAAGTGCGAGATTCTCTGGCAGGCCGACCGAAAAGCCTGTTTGCATGATACGAAAGCTTCAAAATATTCAGTAGGGGAAGTGAGGCTGTTATCGGGTCCTGGTTGGATAATGTATGTACAGTATGCCGCTATTCTCAAGCACATTTCCAAACTTTACCTTTCAATGTAGAAGATACGAGTTGCAAATGTGTCCTGAGTACCTCTACCAGGCATTATATAGCTTATATTATGCAGTTCCTTTTCGAATTCATATTTGGTTTCCTTTTGAAAAAGGTCTCTGGTTGTAAATGACAAATTTATAATTGATAGCCCAGGTTGTTTAGATTTGAGCAAGGACATATATTTTGCATTTGATTGGCACTGCCCACTGTAGTGAGCACTTTTGGTGTTAAGATAGCAGCTGCGCTTGTGACTGTCGTCTCATCGACTTCACAAGAATTTGCACTGTTTTAGAGCTTTTAGAACAGACTCATAAATCGAGAAATAATCATCTACCGGAAACCTGACAACTGTCCAAGAATTTTATCGTGTTCCATCGTCAGCCCTGACCATGGCGAATCTAGGTGTTGGGGAATTTGTAATTCTCTAGAAAAGTAAAATGGATGTACGTCCAGCGATCCAACACCTTAAGGACATTTTTAGCAATGTGAACAATGGAAATAGAAATCATTTCCTAGTCATGTTAATCACCAACAATCATCAGTTAAGATTAGGGTGATATCCCCTTCAAGATTTGGCATGACACAGAGAGCTTTTTGCCGGATAAAGTAGGGTGAGGAAGATATGTATGCATGCTTGAAAGCAGGAACGCTCTTAATACTACTTTTAGATTAATTGAACCATTAATAACATACTGTTTTAAAATAGGATGAGGAACGATGATAGTGCTATGCCACATCTGTCCTCAAATTCCATCTGGGGGTGAGCTCAAGAGGTATATCCCTTGAACTATCTTTCCATCACTTGATTATCAATTACAAAACCAAACTGGTATTATTAGTTTTCGTTGCTATGGGATTTATTAGCAGAAATGTGGCAAAAGCTAACATAATTGAGAATCAAGCAAGTCCTTCGTCTCTTCCGATTACTGGTGAAAGTTGTATCACTCAACTAAAACATGAAGTGTAGATGTACACCTTGTTCTGCAGACTGCAAGTTCTATGTCCAAAGATGGCCACTCCAAAGACCTCTAAAAAGCTTCATGTTCACTTGTATCAGCCCCATGTGCACTCTGAAGCAAATCGGTTGAGTTCCAAACATACCATCGTCGGTCGGTCACAAGCAGTGATGAACTTTTCAACGCTCCTCCTGTTTGCGAATACTCAGTCGAAATCATGTTTAGCTCATCACTTACCACCTGAGCCTCTGGCCAAAATCGATTGCAACTCGTGCTGCTGATAAGATCGCTGCCAAGTTTAGGATTTAGGGTTTCCCGTGATCTTGCTGAAAAAGCTATGTCCTGCTTCTGATGCACACATACGTGTCTCGGGATCCTCCTAATCGGGAGCGTAATCGGAAGATTAACTGCGTCAAATCTGTATCTTGGTCGTGGATTCAGTGATTTAGGCCTTTGTTCGTGTGTGGGGTTTGAAGTTACTTGTGGGGTCGGAACTAATCTGAAGCAATAAGGTCGAGGGAGTGTTGGGCTTTGTGGGTATTGGTTTTGATTGTCTGGTGTTGGAGTTGGGGTGATGGCACAATTGGTGGGGACGTATGCCACCGTGCCCGGCACGGAGCGAGGGAGAGGCATTCTTGTTTCGGGGGACCCCAAGTCAGGATCAATTGTATATTGCAATGGTAGATCGGTGATTATTCGCAGCTTGAAAGATCCGTCCAAGGTGGAGGTTTATGGCGAGCATGGGTACGCTGTGACGGTGGCCAGGTTTTCTCCTAATGGCGAGTGGATCGCGTCGGGGGATGTGTCGGGGACTGTCAGGGTTTGGGCCAGGAATGAGGACCGCACCTTGAGGTTTGAGATCCGGGCTTTGTCTGGATCAGTTGATGATTTGGATTGGTCACCCGATGGTCAGCGCATTGTGGTGTGTGGCGATGGCAAGGGCTCAACGTTCGTTAAAGCATTCTTGTATGAAAACTCCTGCTCTCACTCTGGTCGTTCTCTCTTTACTCTTGGATATTCTAGTGATCGAAGCTAGTCAGTTATGTAGTGCATCTAAGACTTTTCTGCTCGAATTCCCGCAAGCGTGGAGTCTTCGGATGAGGTTCGTGCATTTTGAGACATTGGATTGCGATGGAATGTGATTAGCACGAAGCCTGTTTATTGCATAAATTGGCAAGATCATAGCTGAGGCTTTTCTTTTCACTTGAACAAAAACTATATGTCTTTCACAATCCCGTGGTCGTGTTATTTATTGCACTCAAGAGTAGAGATGAATATGTTGCTTGCAGGTGGGATTCCGGATCGACTGTTGGGGAATTCGATGGGCATTCTAAACGGGTCTTGAGCTGTGCTTTCAAGCCGACTCGTCCGTTTCGCATCGTAACTTGTGGAGAAGACTTTCTCGTGAATTTTTACGAAGGCCCTCCGTTTCGGTTTAAGGCATCGAACAGGCATGTGCAACTTGAACGAGGAAGAGAGAGCAAGAGATTTTTCGCACAACTTACTCTTTGGCAGCTCATGATAGTCGAGACAACGTAGGATGTAGTTCGAGATTGTTTTTGTATTTGCCAATGCTAAGATTCTTGATTGGATTTGCAGAGGTCACAGCAACTTCGTAAACTGTATCAGGTTCTCTCCTGATGGTAGTAAATTTCTATCAGTTGGCTCGGACAAGAACGGATTTCTTTTCAATGGAAAAACCGGTGAAAAGATCGGAGAACTTTCCTCTGAGAATGGTCATAGTGGTAGTATTTATGCAGCTAGCTGGAGTCCCAATGGGAAGCAGGTTGAAACTAAACCATTTGATGCTGATTTAGTCTATTGTGGCTAAAATTTGTGATATTCTCAATAGATTGTTTCCTGACTTCGCACAGGGCTCTAATGTAACTAGAGCTGGATGCTGGCAAAAGTTAGGTTTAGTAGAGGCACTCCGGCTGTATTTATTATATTAAAAATATCAGTAAGTTGTGAAAGTCTACTTTCTAAAACTTTGGACATGTGTCTAATGTCTGGAGGCAAAATGTGATCAGGTGCTTACAGTCTCAGCCGACAAAACTGCTAAGATTTGGGATATTTCGGAAGAAGGCTCTGGAAAGGTATACACAACATTTTCTTTCTCTGATGTCGGTGGAACCGAAGACATGCAAGTGGGTTGTCTCTGGATGGGTGACTACCTCATTACAATATCTTTGGGTGGAGTGATTAGCTATCTTTCTGTTTCCGATCCAAGCACGCCTTTAAGGTCGATTTCCGGACACTTGAGGAGCATTACAGCTCTCACAGTTGCAAAAGAGGGAGACACTACAATGCTTTACTCGAGCAGTTTCGATGGCGTTGTTATTAAGTGGAAGGTAGGATCAGGATACCATGGGCGCCTGCAAAAAAACGGGGCTCAAAATCCTGCTGCTTTCATGACTGTTCAAGGGAGCGACCTAATTACTACTGGATTAGACAACAAGGTCTATGTCTTACCTTTCTTCGACTTCGCCGTTTTCATCAATTCGTAATGTGCCTAAGATTACGTACGAGGAAGCTGAACAGCCAAGTCCAATTTGTGGTTCTTTACGTGCCAAATTTCCCATTATTATTATTATTATTATTATTATTATTTTTTCTCAAGCAATGTGAGAGGTGGTTATCTCGAGCTTAGAGATTGTTATCTTCGTTGTTTCATCATGTTATACTTCCAGCAGCTGAGCAGATCCTAATATGGTGGTGTATCCAGTTTCGGCGTGTTCCGTTACCAGGTGACGCGTACACAGAGGCGGAAACTGTGGACCTTGGGTTGCTGCCACGAGATTTGGATGTGGCATCCAAATGCCCTGAGTTAGCGATAGTGCCCGTAGAGAAGTCAGTAATTCTCTTACGTCAAGGTGCAATTGTATCATCAATTGATGTCGACTATTCTGCAACAGCCGCTGCACTATCCCCACATGGTGAAGAAGCAGTGGTAGGAGGTCAAAATGGGAAGCTCTATGTGTATTCTGTGAAGGGTGACACGTTAACTCAAGGGGTAGTTCTAGAGAAGCATCGAGGGGAGATTTCATCTGTCCGGTACTCTCCAGACGGGACTATGATCGCATCTGGGGACCTAAACAGGGAAGCTGTGGTTTGGGACCGCATTACTTGGGAGGTAAGTTCTCACACCCCTTGACTTATTCCTTGCCCAGGTCGTCAATCCCTCGAAAGGAAAGGCACAATATTTTTAGGTGCTATACTCATGCACCCCCTGGTAACGCAGTGCTGAGTTGGAAGTATCTGGAAAGGATATGCACGCAATTTCTTTTACGATTGTCAAGTAGGGTTTTTCACTTGTGAGATTCTGGCAACGTTTGATTTTTCACTCTCTCGTTTCTCATCAGTTTAAGGTTATTGAAAATTCGCCATCCAAAGGTATTTTGGTTATCCTATTTGAGGATTATAGACATGTTGTGTAGACAAAAGTTATGCATCTGCCAGGAGTATTCTGCTTTTTAGAGAATTACAATTATCATTCCTCGGGTACTTGCAGGTGAAGGTGAAGAACATGCTCTATCATACTGCTCGAGTCAATGCTGTGGCGTGGTCTCCTGATAGCTCCAAAGTTGCTACAACATCAGTTGATGGTTGCATCTATGTCTACGACGTCACTAAGCCGGCCTCTGCTCGCACGGCCATTAGAAATGCGCACTTAGGAGGCGCTTCAGCTCTTGTGTTCGTAGACTCTGGAACATTAGCTAGCGGTGGAGACGATGCGTGTGTCCGTCTGTGGACTGTCGTTTAAATATTTTTGTTCATACATTCATGAGCGTCAGAGGGACTCATTCTTTGAGGTGCATTTTTAAGATTTTCTGATAAGGAAGGTCTTTAGAAGTAACTCTATCAAAGGATCTCCTCGAACATGTATTGTACATTTTTAGATTGATGATTGTGGTGAACGAGGTTGTTTTGGTTGACAGCATCATTTGAATACAACTCTCGTCTATTACCAGGTGAATCAGCCTATTGACAATTATTTTCTCGTGTTTTGTCTAAAGTAAACATGATTAGAATTGAGGACTAATTTGAAGGGGACAATTTGCTTAACCTGTTTTGATTTGAAATGAAACGGACGAGTGAACATTTTTAACACTGATGTAGCAGTTAGTATCTCACACTTCATTGCTCATACGTAATATTCCTGGGCTGGTAGGGTGGTTTTTGTGTCTTATACTGATCCCTTGCACTCAAAGTTGTGTGGACACACAGAGGAAATAAGCGCTTTGAATGCTAAGATATCCTTGTAGGATAAATTTCTTAATTGTGCTCGTCATTTCTAGATTTAGGACAGCCACACTGCCGATCAGGCTTCCTTAAGATGTAAACTCTTTGATTCTTGAATACTCAATGTTTCACCCTTTCAAGGCAGTGGCACAACCACTCAAGTCCCGACTTTCCGTTGGCATGCACTCTCTCAAGCACCAATCATGAAGCTTCTGCCCATGCGAATATTGGTAAAAATTTCATTCAAAAGCTGGAATTCATCCGCTACGCTTTCCCGTGAGCTAGCCTTCCTAAGAGTAATGGGCAGCGCCCGAAACATGCGAAGCGCCGACACTCCAATGAAACGAGACTAAAAGTTAGTATGTGAAGTTCACCATCTCGTATTCATTGATCATGCTTGCAAGGACTCGATTGCCGTATACCAAAAGATTGATTGATCAAGCAAGATCGAACACCATAATGTACAGAGAAAACGGAGCTGCTCATCTTCAACTCCATTGTATACCTATGCTGTCAATTAGTGAGGAACTCCTGCGTCAATCGAAGACGCATCTACATTCCCTAGATAACTTCTACTACCAAGGTGAGTTTAGAGCTGCAACATTATCAGGTTACTCCTAAGAATTGGTTAAATTTTCTATATCTACATATCACAATTTGCAATGGCGGCAGTCAGTATACACATCCTTTTATACATCAAAGGTACAGGGTTATTGAAGTTGGGGAGAATTGTCAGGTCTTTGCAAAAGTCTATCACTTCCTTCCCGCTTCCTCAAGTACCCGGTATTTTGACAGGATCTTTCGAGTAAAGCAATCAGCTGCTCCTCTGTAAACTTTAAGGTTGGTTTCATCTGCCAAACAAAAATCACATGTATCAGCAAGCAGAACATGACAAAATTGAAAGATCCCTGAAGCACCGAATCAGCTACAGCATTCTCGGAGTGGCTAACATATTACCTTGGCTATAACAATATGCAGGATATCATCACTTGTGGTGGATGTATTAGAATGTTGTATGTCGAGTCGTAATTCTTGTAGAGTCATCATCATATTGACAACAGAGTAAGCTTCTCGCAGACAGCTGATTCGTATCATAGCCTCCTCTCCAACGATATCTACGGCAATACTAAACCTCTTACCACCAGAAAATGTGCCAAACACAGGGCTAGTCCCATTCCCTTCAGGCTTCAGTTGGATAGCATCCTTGAGCGTACCAATTGCAAGCACCTCTTGGTCTTGCTCGTGCTTAGAACTTGCAACTCTCTGAAGATCCTTTATGCGCATTTCTGCATCCTGAAGTTTCTCTTGCAGGTGGTTAATGTGCGCAATTGCATCGCCTAACAGTGAAGCTTTGTCCATCTGATTGAAAGATGACAAATTGGTGTCAGAATGGGGCTATAAGAGTTGACTCAAAAACATGGTATCAAATCATTTTATAAGGCTTAACAGAGGATAACACACGTAAGAAATTCTAGTTGCAAACTAATACTCTAATAAGGGACAAAAACCTGAAAAATATAAGAGCTGGAAATAACACCAGATTGTCCTGCGGAGCATTTGAGCTATTGTGGGATATGAGGACATGGAGAATATAGATTACCTTTGAGACATTTGGCACAACAGCCCGAAGAGCATAAAATCGTTTATTAAGTTTCTCTCGCCGCTGCCGCTCAGCTTGTACATGGTTCAGGGGCTCTTCCCGGTCATTGGCGGGCTTCCGACCCCGTTTACGAGGCACTTTTGGAGCCTCGACCACATTATTTTTCATTGTAATCAGTTCTGTATCAACACACTCCTGGTCCAGGTGGCCGGCAAGCAGTAAACCATTTGCAGGGACAGGTACTGCTGGCTTTGAAGCGGGAGGAGATGGTGGTTGTGGAAGTGGCTTGAAAACAGGCATAGGCTTCTCAACACTTTCAGGTTTGTAAATAGACGTGGGTTTCTCAACAATTGGAAGCTTTTCGACTGCAGGCATTGAAGGAGAATGCAACTGCTCGTCTAGGCTGGGTGGATTTGATCGCACAGTCTGTGTATGCCCTGGGGGGTTAAACATTTCACCCACGTCGAAGGAACCATTATGATGCAGAAAGGCCTGTGATGTGTGTGGCTTAGGATGTAACCTTTCCGTTACAGGCAAAGATGTCTGCGTATGATCTAGTTGGGGAGGCTTCTTTACATTGTTCTGCTGAAAAATTGAATACCTCGAATCTGAGTCTAGGGTTTTAGGAGGTGGACTGGATGCTAAGGGGAGCTTCTCGTCTTGTAGAGGTAAGCTACCTAAAATATTACACATAGGTTGTCCTAAATCTCTCTCGACGTTGTCATCTGGAAGTGGATCATTATAGTGGAACTCATTAGTTTGTCCCCATACATGGTCATATCCGTTGAAACCAAAGGCACCTGAATGGGATACCATCTTGCCCATATGGCTGTGTCTTGTCCCAAAATCCATGCTTTCGCTGTCTGCTAGACCTGGATCAGTGTTCAGTGTCATGGAGGATACACCTGAGACACTCGTCGAATCAAAAGGTATACTCGGATAATGAGGCATAAATGTTGTATCAAATTTTCCAACTTGAGATTGGGAAATAATTGGGGACATATTAGTCAACCCCCACGTTGGCTCTTGGAACACCATCTTAACATACTCAACAACATCCAAGCGCTCGTGAATCTGCAATTGACAGCGGATAAAAACATAAGAAAACTTAACGATTTTCGCTTGACATGAAATGATATCGTAGCTACCCGTTGAACAATAAATGAACTTCAAAAACAATCTTCAAAGTTCATGAAAAGATTAAAGACTCACTGCATCAGTTGAACCAAGCTCAACCACCCCATTCATGATTGGCACACATAAAATAGTCTGCCACATCAATAAAATAAAATGAACGTCAACCACATGCTTAACTAATCCTTTGAATAAGGTATTAATCACAGGTACCTGCACTACACAATGAAAACGACTGAAGAGATGAAAAAAGCAGTGTTTCAAAAGATTATACTTAACGAATCTAGCATAACTGCGTAATGAGTATCTGCAAATGTGATGTACCTGAATTCCTGCCATCTATTCTCGGAAGGCCGAATGCAACAATAAAACAAACCAAAACCTCTGTGAGTACAATGAAATCATCATAGAATTCATTCCTAGAATCTTAATGAATCCAAAGTCTACAGCCAAAACAATTATTTTCCAGTCGTTTTAACCTTTTTGAGGGCAATCGCCTGCATAATTCATCAAAACTAAAAACGCTCTAAACGCTGGTGTGCGTCACTTAATCACCATGCTCACTAATGAGCAAGGAATGTGCTAGAACAATGGAAAAGTAAGGTTATAATTCTAACCCTCAGACGACCAACTATATCAGCATGTTCACAAATCAAGATTGTGAAAGAAACAGACATACGTTGGGTGAGAAAAACAAGGGATTGAGGATATTCCAATAAGATATATGTTGACACTCAGCGATTATTGGAAAGTCATAAGTCCTGTGTATCACACCTTCGCTAAATTGGCTCGTGTGCAGATTTTATAAGAAGCCTTATCTGCCTCCTCCAGCCATACATATTCTCCAAACGCCAATGCCTGACCAGGGGTACTACATTCAAAACGAAGATTAGCCGTAAAATAAAAGGAGAAGTAGTGTATGTGTGTGTGTGTGTATGAGTTTGAGATTCAATATAGTATGCGGTGGACAGAAAAGAACGTCGAACGCGCGCGAGAGAGAGAGAGAAATACCCGACCCCTTTTGCAAATGAGTGACACATAGAAACAAGGTAAAACCACTCCGTATCTGAGACGTCTTCAGTGCCATCATCATCTGGACAGGAAACAAGAGCCTGAAGCTCTCGTAGTACTTTCTTTCTCTGTAGCTGATGCTCCTCGGTTTGTGTTTTCCTTGGCTCAAATTGGTCACTATCTTTCGGTCCCTTGTAATACCCATCCCCCCACCCCAACATTCTGCCACGACGACAAGATCAAATCCGTTACATAGTAAATAAATGAAATAATGCCAAAAGGTTCACTTGAAGCAGCCCCATCCTCGATCCTTCAAAGACCAAACTCTCAAGAGAGAGAAATTCTTGTCAATTATGCTATTGTCTAAGGATTAAATCATCATTCTAGAAAGCGTGGAAGAGGAAGCGAGACTTGATACTAAAAAGAAGATTGCAAACTATAATTTCTATTCCATAAACCGTCGCGTTGTCATCTTCGATTGCATACCTCATCAGGTTTTAGAGAGATCAGTCAGAGTGAATGTTACCGGAATCGCAAATATTAGGGTCGGTGCATTCGGTAAGACTTTCTCGTATCCTAAACATATACTAGAACATTGCAAGGAAGGGCGCCTACTGCGAAATTCACAATGTCCATGAAAAGTATCATCATTTTATAGTCCTGATGCAGTAAACAAAATTATCGTCTTCAATTACTGTAACACGCGAATGCCACAGAGAAAACCTTAAAATATAGCCGCATACGATCATCACTGACGCATTGAAGGTTAAGGCTAATCAGTAATTATGAGAGCTGTGCACAGAAATGTATGATAAAATCCTGTTCCCTTGGAGCTTATTGAGCTTATGCAGGGTGCTGCATAGTCACTAATTCGTGCAAACCCCTCTCTGTCCATTTCAATGTAATTAAAGGGAGGGGGGGCATCACACATTCAGACCTAGGAGAATTATTCGAAAAGGAAAAAACAGAAACCACGAAACATGATCAAGAACTGGCGGTAGGAACATACGACTCTCCGGAAGGCGAAAGAGAGAGCTGCCAGAAGATGCCATAGGTCCAATCCTCCGACGACTCTTCCACGAGTCTGTGCAACCTACGCTGCAGCACAGAATCATTCTGCTCTAAATCCTGCCCCAAGGTGCTAGCCAGATCATCCTGTGTCTCATAACCCGGAATCTCATAGCCTCCAATAAAGGCCTCCACCATCAACGGATCCGCGGCATCCCAGTAGTTTGGCGTCCCCATCTCCATCATCCTTGATCTTACCCCCAACCTCCTGGTCGTCGTCCCCACTCCACATCCGAACCACTTCTACTCGTCTCCACTATTACAAGACAACCCTCCGCCTCGTCCTGCCATTCGGTTTCAATCCCCTCCTCCCTCTCTGTCTCACCACCAATCAACTTCCCAAAAATTTCACAAACCTTAACCAAACTCAACAAAACCCCTCCACATCCAGCTCAAATGTCGTCATATCTACCTCAACTTCCCACCATTTCCCGCAAAAACGCATGCTAACGGCATCAATCGACGAGACGGATTTTCCAGCTGCCAACTTACAATCTCCCGGAACCGCCAATTCCTGCTACGAACGAGGCCGCGGTCGGACAAGGCCAGCCAGCAACACGGCAGACGCGGAAGCATGCGGTGCAGTCCAGTGCAGCGGGAGCTCGAGCACGAGACAAAGCCCGTGGCCGGAACTATGTATTCGTATATTAAATTTTAAATTATATTGTAAAAATACGATTCCGTATCCTTGTATAGTATTTCGATTTATCTGTCTCATGACTTCCGTCTGATTGAGTGTGAGTGAGTGATAGATATGGATGAGTAAATGGATGGATGTTGAGGTGGATGATTCGGATGGTTCGTTCCCCATGGGTGGCAAGGAGCATGTGGAGGTGAATTGTGCCCACAAAGCCCGTTGGGAACGTTCATTGGTGACTCGTTCCCCTCTCGCCCACTTGCAGAACTTGCTCGTGTGTGGGCTGACTTGCCACTGAAGAATGTGACCAAGGTCTCAACTAAAGACAATAACACGCAAAATATTTATTGTGTACATCAAAAAAGAGAAAATAAAAATAAAAATAAAAATAAAATAAAATCATTTTCTGATAGGCCTGCTTGATTTCATATATTTCAAATGTAAAATAGCTGACAACCGCATCAACTCTGGCTGTTGACAAACCTGCACATTCATTGTGCAATATTTGAGTTTGTAGTAGTTTTCCTTGTAAATCACTTAAATTTTTCGGGAACTAAAAGTTAATTAATCAAATATAGTTGATTCTTCTTGTATTATATTATATGTACCATCATCTTTACACTGACAACTTAATAAATATATGATGAGCATGTAGAGAAATAAAACGTGGTAAAACAAAAAAACCATGATATATTTTAACCTTGTTATGAACTTGCACACAGTTTATTTTTTGTTGTTTATTTTTTACTTTCATATTAAACAAACAAACAAACAAACAACAACACGATGTCTGCAAAACATGTGAAAGTACAAATTGTTGGTAACAAATAAACAAAATCGTCTGAAAATATGCATAGTTTCTGCACATCAAGTGGGGATAATCCTATTGCAAAGAAATGGACAACCAAACCCATTTCATAACCACTCAAAGGCCAATAAGAAGTGTCCCAAAGGAGAGAGAAACGGAAATAAATGAAGATGTAAAGAAAGAATTGAATGGTTTTGCCAATTTAGGGATGGAGCGTCGAAGCACCACATTCATCAAGCGAACGTAAAACCAGGAGATTTGTTTTATTTATTAATTTATTTGTTTATTTGTTTATATATTGTTCTCACGTTCTTGGCGATGTTCACGAAATTGTATTGATAGCCAAGGCACCGCACGGACTCGACAGTGAGACAGTGAACCCTAAACCCAGGCCTCAAAAGCCTGGTCACGATTCGGCTTGACGATGCTTTCGGAGGCAATCGCGCAGAGCTTGGTCTGCATCACCGATCGATGGCGAAGCGGCCCAAATTTGACCGCCGTTCTGATCAGCTTGCTCTTGAAGTCGATTCTCCCTTTGCACACAACTTGCACACGAATCCGCCTCGGGAGCTGTTAGAGCAGGCGCGACAGAGCCAGGGCCAGGCCACCATGGCTCCGGGGCCTTTGTTGCCCGATTCGAGCGTTGTTGTTGCGACAAGGTGGACGACGGGAGGGGAAGTGGCTATGGTTGATGATGCTGGTGAGAGCGCTGCCAAGGTGGCCAACCAGAGCCTCAATCCCGTGGGCATGCAGATTTACTGGAATCTGTCTTCCTTGAAGATGGCGGTGCGGGAGGCTGCGGCGGTGGCGCTCGTGGGCGAATTGCGAGCCAATCAGGAGGATTTCGTATCCAGCGGGAGTGAAGAGGGAATTGGCGAGGTATAGCTTTGCCTCCTTCTTATGAGGAAGATTGGACAGTGTAATTGGCGGTGGGACAGACATTCGATGATGGCTGGACGATTTTTATGTTGGATCTCTTGTAGCCGGTTGTGACTCGGAATTTGCAATTCATAGAATCATGGGACTGCTAGTGTACCGTTACGGTACAGATTCTATCTGCTGCTGCTGCTGCTGCTGCTGCAAGTGAATAGATGTCCTTGTACTCAGCTTTTAGAGCTTGAATTTCTTGCTTGTCATGAATTAAGGGGTGCCGGTTCTCAAATGCCGAGATGAATGTCTTGTAAAGGCAATTTACAAGTGGAGGTAGTGTATTAATTTGTGTAGGCACTTGGAGCGAAAGAGAACGATGAACTGTTGGAAGGATGTGCTCCGGGTGTGCAATATGCATTGCGGCGGCTTGTGCGCGGTCTTGGCTCTTCGCGTGAGGTGAGGTGGTTCGAATTCTCAGGAGGACTTTCAACTCTCACAAATGAAGCAGCACGTATTTAATGGCTGCCACGCGGCTGGATGCAATCTTGGCTTGTGGTCTTATGTACAGCGAAGTTTGTTAATGGCTTCATAACGGAACAATGTATATGTGTTCAGTGTGCGAGACAAGGATTTGCTACTGCGTTGACGGCTGTGATCGGAGCCCTTCCAGTGATTCGAGGAGAAGCTCTGCTCCGGATCATTCCCTCGAATTTGGAGGTCACATCGTCCATGAAGAAGCAGGTAGACACGCAATTTTAAGACACTATGATACTGTACCTACGCTTGCAAGGATGTCGGACACGGGGTTTTTGCTTTATGTAATTCACAAATTGACGATCTAATGGGAACTGGTGCCATGAGAATGAAGGATTCACCATTTCTTTGAGTCTGACTTCAAATTATGCTTAGAGCAGAGAATGAGTTTAACTAACACATAGGTATTTGAATTCGACTTGCAATGCGGGAATCGTGGAAAATTACTACTTTCAGAATTTGGTTTTCGGTTCTCGTGAATCAGTGCACGTCTTGGCTGCATAACTATGACACAAGAGTCCTAGGCCCAAGAGCATCGTCGTCTATTCAAATGCTGGAAGCAGGATTTCAGGGATCAAACATACTGCTTCTATTAGTCACTTTAGTTTCGAGTGACTGTTTTAGCTTCAGCTTTAGTTTTAGTTTTGGCGTTGAATACGAAACTTTACCTACGAATCTCGTTTTCTTGCATGGCTTTGCAGGATGCAAGGGACGGGCTGTTAGGACGATTGTTTGCTTACGGGTCTATGATCCGATCAAGGAGATTAATTGGAAATTGCACTAGTTCAGAAGAGAAGGATCTAGCTAAAGAGATTGTTCAGCAACTGTTCAACCTCGCCAAGCGGAAAACATTTCTTCGGGAGCCAGCTGTGAGCCTGGTTATTGAGCTTGCAAGCAGGGTAATCATCTTGTGTCACTACTTTAAATAAATATATAGTGCTTTGCTGCTGTTTCCAAGTTTCCAACTTTGAACTCTGCATTTCTCCTGCTTTCAGAAGTGCTAACGAATAAGATATCAGTTCCACTCTGTAATTCGTAGTACTCTCAATTCTAGTTAGCACTACAGGTTTATGCAATTGTGTGATGTGCTTATGATAAAACCGAGCTTAATTTGGAATTCTTATGTTCCACCTATAGTCTACTTGGGTTGTGCTGTTTTTAACAACGTTGAAATGGCTCAGCTGCCCTCAAGTGCTGTCAGGGAGACTGTGTGCGCAGCTCCACTTTTTGACGAATGGTTGCGGCGAGACGTTGAAAACCAAAGTGCGGATGCCCTGGTCTTAGTTTTGCACCTGTATGATAAGCTCCTATCCAAGAGCTCCCCTTTGCTGCCTGAGTCGGGAAACATTCAAGATTTCTTCAAGCCATCCCATCTGGCAAAACTTGTCCCTTGCTTGAAGGTAAGGATACGTGAGTGTTAAAACAGGCTTCTTCTTTGAAGCAATGCAGTCTATTTTTTATATTTTAAGTAAAAGAATTTGCTATTTCTCATTAGATAAAAAGAATAAAATTTTAGTTAATGTCTAAACGTCTCCGAAGAGGCACAACACGTAGTTGGACTTGGGGCCCTGGCCTCGAATCTCTTAACAAGCCTTCGCCTGTGGGTATCCTTGTTGACTTCTGGATTGTTTTATATATAAATGAACCTGGTTGTGCTTTTAAAATCAATTATTATTTGTACATCTATTACGAATTAATGCGTTTGTGGTTCAACTTGAACACAGGAGTCTTCCAGCAGCCACCCTCGCATACACTCAGTTTGGCATCTGTTATTAGACCGCCTCTTCTCCCCTCTAGACACAGCAACGAAGAAGCAAGCTAATTCTGGCAGTTCGAAGGATGTAAAAGTGAACGAGAATTTGACAAATTTCTGGAGTGTGGTTGTCGATGGAGCGCTGTTGCCTTCTTCGTATGAGAGAAAGAATCTTGCAATGGAGCTTCTTCTTTTAGTACTACCTAGATTGCCAACCCCTGAATCTGTTGGCATTGTCCTGTCCAACGTATTTGTTCGATGCATTCTGGATATTCTGTCGTCTAAAGACACCCACCTTTATAAAAGTGCCCAGAGGTGCGTAGGCGAACTCCGACTTTGGGCTGAAAATAAATATACTCGTCGAGTTGCTGTCATTGGGGCCTTGCAGCGAAGTAGCTATGGGAAGTTCGATACATTATCTAAATCCTCCACTGTCAAAACACTAACAAATGGATTGATTACCGAAGATGGTATACTGGCATTTGTCAACAATCTTCAAGAGTTGTTTGTATCTGCCGAGTCTAATGTTGTGACGGCATTAAAAGTTACTGAAGAACTTGCGGAGGGGTCCGAGGATACTCCGATGAATGGTCACGACAGTCCTGGAGCTAATGATCGGATCTGGATCATAGAGCAGATGCATGCTCTCTGTCGGCAGGTGAAGTTGGAGCCTAAAGCTAAGGCAACACTTTACAGAGAAGTGATTAAGTTCCTAATTATTCACTCTCTGTTTCATGCAAGCAGTCAACAGAACGTTATGGATTTAGAGAAAGAAAACATTAGGTGGCCTCAAAATCTTCTGACAGGGAGTACCCGAAAATTATGTGCAGAGCGGTTGCATAGTGTCCTAGTTGATGCTGAACACTGGATGTATACTCAAAAATCGAGGAGCAACAAGACTGGTGTGAGTGGAGTGAATGATATAGTGACAGATGACGAAGATTTTTCTCATTTTGCGGCTTTATATTGCATGAGCGTCCAAGGATCTCCAGCTGCAGCTCTTGTACAGCCGTTGAAAGTGGAATCCGCAGAATTTGTGAAACTCCTCCATCAGACCGTGTCTTCTTTATCCTCAGCTGTGAGTTGCAATTCTTTATGTGCTTTGTTTAATGCGGTCTAATTGGATGACTACTCAATTTGACATGCTGGTTAGAGCTTGGGCTAATAATTGTGCACTCATGGTTCGCAATCTAGGTTCATTTGATAACTAGTTGTGGTGAAACATTTCCTTGTATTTTCTTTTGTTTTGTTTTGTTTCAATTTTCTTTTCTTCAATTAATTTTTTTGGAAAGAAAATTCTGTACTGCTCACATCATGACGTGCTTGCGTATTATGGGGTATCTCACAGATTGAGTTTGACACGAATGTTGACAAATCTAGGAGGATTTTGGCAATGAGGACGCTTCTTTCACATGTCCTCCTGCAGTCTTTCCTGGAACCGGGCTCCACCGATGGTATTGCAGCTGAGCTTGTCATCTGCTGTAGCAAAGCTTTCTCTGACTTGTCAGAACTGTCGAAAATCGCAGCATCAATTGAGGAGAAAGACGAGAACAATGAAGTACCCCCAGTGATGGGTGTTCTTGTTGACGTTCTATTGTCGATGCTGGCAAAATTATCAACTCCAATTCGTAATGCAGTCGAGCAGGTTAGTGCGTTGATGATGCTTTTCTACTGAAGCACAATGCCTGCAGTCTTTTTGCACTTGACTTCGAACTATTTTCTCAGCAGTCTTTGTGTTATGAGTAGGTGTTCAAAGTGTACTGCGAGGACCTCACCATTGCAGGATTGACTGATATCCTGCGAATCATAAATAAGGGCTCTAAATCAGGACGTCATAAGTGCATATTAGACGATGATGACGAAGATTTTGATGATGATGGCATCCTAGAAGATGTTGAGGAATCAGAGGGTGGTGGTGAGGAAGATATTCAGGAAACAACAGAGGTACTAGATGAATTGACCAAACGTCAAATTTCTTTTGCTACATTCTTGTTTCGCAGCAAATTACTGGCCATTTGTTCGTTTCTGTGATTGATGCTGTATTATGTTTTGTTTTGTTTCATTTTTTTTTTTTTTTTTTTTTTTTTTTTTTTTTTTTGACTCAGTGTGTTTTTGGTTTGATTCAGGAGGGAGAAGGGGAAGATAGCGATGACGACGACGACGACGACGAAGAGGAAGAAGAGGAAGATGTAGAAATGGGTGACGGTGATACTAAAGCAAGGACCCTTCAGCAACAAATGAGATTCAAAAGTGCGTCCTCGCAAATTCAAGCAGTATTGTGTAGTTTCTTTTGTAGGCATGAAGAATCTTGAATTAGTTCAACGTTTTAAGCTTTGTTTTACAATTTTCTTGAATTTATTCATGAGATATAAGTTGTTTCTGCAGGACCTGCTGAAGACTTCGATGATGAGGCAGAGGGCTCTGATTCGGACCTCTCAGATATGGACGATGAAGCTATGTTTAGAGCAGATGCACTGCTTGCTAATGTGTTGATGCATAAAAAGGAAGCAATTAAAAGTACTGCTCAAACTCAGTTAGGTCACTTCAAGTTCAGAGTTCTATCTTTACTAGAATATTTTCTTCAAAAGCATCCTGGCAGTAGCCTGGTTTTGCTTGCAGTGCATGGCCTTTTGAAGGCATTTATGTGTGCCATCAATCAAATTGGTACAGCACCTGAGGAGAACGAGGTACTCGCTAAGCGGTTAGAAAGCATGTTGCAAAGCAAGGTGTTGCACGCGAAGAAGTATCCGAAGGGGGAAGATGTAGACTTGCCACTCGCCAGGACTTTATTGAAGAAACTTTTGAAATTGGCTTCTAGGTCATCAATCAAGAGAGTTCGAAAACTAGCTCAGGTATGTCTTTTCTTAGTGCTGAAATATTTATATTATGAAACGTCTAAACCTATGTTACAGATTACCTCTTAATTAGGAATTGAGTCGCCATATAGTGGTGATTCTGAAATAGATTTTATGCTGAAATAATTAGATTATCGTTTTGTGTTTACAGTACTGGAGTGATTCTAAGTATCGAGAACACATTCCAGTTCATAGTGGAACAACGGTTGCCTAGATTATTGTCTTCAGTGCTTAAACTGGAAGTGGAGAATTTCAGTTTGTTGAAGTGCCTCTGATTCGACTGAAATTTGATGTTTTGGATTGTTATGTGCTTTTAGGCGTGCACTTTGTGGACATTGAAGGTTCTTCTAGGAAACGTTCCAGATACAGCTGAGAAATGCGACGCCGAGTTGTTGGAATGTATTTCAACTGCGTTAGACGATTACTTCACTCAAAAGAAGTCACGCCTCGCTGGATCTTTCTTTATCGAGATATTCCAACGACACCAAATTCTTGGTAGGTTTTCTATTGGCAAGCTTATCGAGAAGTGCGGAAATGGACGGACAGAGTTTATGAAGTGTGAGGCCCTGCGCTTGCTCACTGCGATTCTGAAACCAGTCACATCTTGTAAGGGAAAGAAAACAGTAGCAGAGAGCGTTGAATGTAACCTACTTGCGAAAGCGTTTCAGCAGCACATGGGGTCCCTCGGGGCAGCCATTTCATTTATTGTTCAAAGTCCGCCGGAGAAGTCTGCTTACAAATCTATCGCGCTTAAATTTTGTAGTAGCTGCATTGATGTTTTCACAGTGCTCTATCCACTGAAAGGACTTCACTCATTGTTGGATAGCAAAGCTCTCTTGGCGGGTCTTAAAGCCATAGACGCGCCAAGTAAAGGAAAACTGCATAACTTAATCACAAAGCTTCAAAATACAGTTACTGAAGAGTTAACGAAGACTTCAGTGATCAGTGATTCAACAAAGAGGAACGCAAACAAGATTGCTTCGAATAAGGCGAACAAGGATTCTGAGGTACTCACGGTGATTGAAAAAGCTTCGACTCTTTTGAAGGCCAAGTGTGAAAGTTCCGAGGATGAAGACATGTCTTGTAAGAATATTAAGGCAAGAGACGGAGAGGGCACTATGGAGGGTCAGGTTGAAGATACCTCCTTCAACACAAAGCAGAAGGGTCCGAGTTTTAAGAAGGTTAAATTATCAAAAGTAATCTCATAACGTAGGTTTAATCTCTTGCAGTTTCCACTCCCATCAGGACTCCAATTTTGCTTCCCTCATTGGGGTTTACATTATTAATTTTTATTTTTCTGTAACGATTAAAAATCGCCTCGCTCATCTGGCTTTATCAGCCAATGACTGATTGTTTTACATAGTTGGCTCGTACTTTTTGCCTTGCAAATATTTTCATGACCTCCCAAGGAACTGCATCGGCTTGCGCACAAAAAAACCAACCAAGATACAACTATGAGTATTCTCACATTGTTTTGCTTAGGCAGCGGAGTCAAGGTCAATTGGCATAATTCATGTGAAATCTAGGCATACCACCAACCACATCCATGGCAATGGGCAAGAGCCTCCGACGTGATTTGGCTACCTAGAGCAATATCACATGATACTTGGATTTTTTGATCAGCTACAAGGCGTCTACAGAAACCATTGCAAATAAAATTATTGAGAGTCTTATTACTAGTCTCATAATATGGAATCTTTCCTTGGTACTGCAGATCATGACAACAAATTAGGCGTTCTTAGCCATAATATGGTTCTTATATTTATGTTTAGCAATTACAAACTTGACATTTAAAACAATATATGGACTTATTAGAAACTTCATCAACGGGGCTCATGTATGCAAGACTACTAAGGTAAAATTTAGATGGTCCATTCTTATTCAAATCATGGACTTAGGAGGTGTAAAGATATTAGATCTTTACATATAGACACAACCACTCATAACTAAACTTATAATCTATAGCTTGAAACTAGACTATGAACTATGGAAAATCTTTGCTCAATACTATTTAAGTTGTATAATACCAATTGGAACAAGAAGATGGTTGCAATATCTTCATTGGATTTCAACAAGTTGTATACGACTTTGTAGTTCTACTCTTCTTTGGAAAGCAACTTTTTAAACATGGCTCTTTACAAAAGAAAGATTGAAACAAGTTGCTTCAAGTCATGCTTTGGAGATCTTATGGCAACCCTTGTTTGATAATTTATTAATCCAACAAACTTTGAGTGTTATGTTTGGCATTGACCTAACATCTACATATTCTACTTGAGCTAAAAGATGCGTCTTTTAGATCAAGGATATCTTCTATCAACTATTTGATCAATGATATATGATTGTTTTCATCAAGACATCAATTAGATTGTACATGGCTAAAACATAATTGCCGATGCTGATTTAAGCTATCTTCTAGAAATTTTCTTCTACAATTACTTTCAAAATTGGTAATTAAGTTACTCTAACAATGTCCAAGATAGCCATAATTTACCACCTTTGATAGCAATCAGATTCTACCTAAGTCTATAGGATCTTTCAAGTACTCTAATTAAAAGAAATTATACTAATGGAGATGAATCTATAGGTGCTTCCATTAGATACTCTCCATCATGTTCAAATAATCTATATGACTAGGACTAAGGAAGAAGTTCTCCCCTACAATCCAAATACATATTACAAAGACAATAAGCTATGGTTATATAGAATAACCTCAATTAGCCTACTCATATAGGATCCTTGAAATTGGTATTGGAAACAACAAAGCTATCTACAAGAATATAGTTTCTTTAATATATAACAAAATAAAATTATAAATTCAACTTAAGTAAAATAATCCATACAATATAAGGTCTCTAAGAGTTAGAAAGTTAAGGATACTTATAAAAATAAAAAAAATTATTAATCCAAAGAATTTGGTATTTTTGGCTCTTCTAAAAAATTACAACCATTATATGGTTGTACCTAGTAAGGAGATTATCTATTAGGCAATAGAGGATAAAAGCCTCCTAAGATACAAAATGCAGACTATGCATTTCAATAGTAACAAAGACATGCAAATATACATTATATAACTGCATATAAGTTGTCTCTACATAGCAACACTTTAAAGCCTTCCGAGTTGAGTTCAACCTAAAAAATGGATACAATACTTGATATGACATATGCTATAGCATTAAAAATCAACTTGATAGCCTTGATTTAGAATCAACCATAGCATAGTATGTAGATTCTTGGATGTTGGTTAATAATAATATAACTTAGAATCTCCTCCGCACCAACTTGAAATAAATCATACGGATCTAAAAATATGTAAAAGAGATCTTAGGTCATGCTTTTTCTCTTGATAAGGCAATATTCTACTCTTGAAAAATAGTGATAAATGTTGGAGCAGAGGTATGAAGAAGTATTTACTATTATAAAAGAAGTACAAAGAAGATTTAGCAGTTAATTGCTCTTTTTAATAAAATATGGATGATTCAAGAGGTCTTTGCCAATCCATAAAACCTATAGCATTAAAATTGACTATCTTTGGCATCCTTTCTATTGCAAGAACTTGTTGTAGAGTTCTACAACAAACACTACATATCTAATCAAAAATTTCAAACATCACAACAAATATGGCTTTGGAGAGTATAGAACTCTAACTAACTATTGATGAATTATTTGACAAGGTTAATTGTAAAATTTGAACATAAAAAAAAATCTTGCTATTAAACAATGATATAATACTTGTTTTAGCAACACCAATATCAAGGACATATATTTATCATTGTCGTGTGGTATGATTTGAAATCTCAGAATATACACAGTATTTAGTTGTAGAGAGTTTCTTTTTAACTTATTGGCTAAGCTTCAATAAGTTTTTTTATTCCACCTTTAACTAATATATAAAGTCTTGGCTTCCAAAACCTCTTTACTTTTTATAAAATGTCCAAATTGTAAAAAAACCTTCAAAACATATTTTTTCTTTAAATGATTCATTCTTTCCAAAGTTTAGAAATTCATGTCTTTTGATTCAACTATTCAATTTCTTTCAAAGTTTTACATAATGTAGCTATTACCCTTAAGCTTTACTAAAAAAAAAAAAAAAAAATCATAAAATCACTATTGATCTCTTGATATCTTAGAAATCCTAGCAGGTGCTCTAAATCCTAACTTACAAGCACTCAAGCACTATTTTCTTTATATCTCAAAAATAAAAATTCAAATGCCACAAAATATAAGTAAAAAATTTATTAACATGACTATACACATTTTTAGAAATTTTGACCTAAAATATTGTCAAATTGCATAAGATATAATTCAAAACACAACTACTAGTGAATCAAATTACTTACTATCCTTAGATTTGCAAGTGCTGACTTCAACCTCCAATATCTCTTTTATTCAAACTTAAAACCCATTAAAAATTATGCCAAAAGTTTAGCCAAAAAAGTGCTTTCTCCAATTTCAGTTGCAAATCCTTTATTGCTTTCGATATGCATATATTATGTTCAAAAGAGTGATAGTAGGTACAAAATCAACACGTTAATTTTGAGCACCCATATCTCTTTCATATAAACTCCAAATCATACAAAATTTGCATCAAAACCATAGCCAAAATCTAAACTTGCTGATCTTAGCCTTCAAAGCTCGAATGACTTCGAAAAAATAACCCTAATATCTAATAAGGCCTTAGATAGCCTCCTTGAAGTCCATTGGGCATGATTTTTTGCTAATAGGAATGGAGATTTTCATCATCCATTTCCATTCATCCATATAGATGCCCTAACTTCTCTTTTTGCTACCAAAATCCCTCTCTAATCCTTTTTTTTTATTAGTTCTATATAATATATGTCCTAAATATCAATTATAAGAAACAAAATAAAACTTCAAGGATTACCAATGTCTAACAAAGGTGACTCTAAATGTATAAAAGTTACTACAAATAAAACCAACTTCAAAAGTCACTATCAAAAGAAAATAAAGTTATATAAATTCTAATAGAAGCTCTTTTAAACAACCTCTTTTTGAGATAGTAATCTATCTACATCTTATAACCTACAAAAATCCACTAACATGGCTTTCACCATGTTTTCTAATATATTTATATATTAAATATATAAATATATTATTTTTACATAGTAGCCAAACCACAATACAACACCATAATTATTGCTTAGATAATATAGATAGATAGAAATAAATAAAAATAAATTAATTTTATAATATCTCTCAGTAAAGCTTCTTAAATGTTGCTTTGGATTTTTATGTATTTGTGGTTGATTGATAGGTTAGAAACTTGGTCAACAAGTTAGCCATGTGTCAAATGTGTTCATAGCTTGCGAAATAAGCTAATTATATAGTGCTCATATAAAAACTTTTTCTTGCAAGTTAAGATATATGTCATGTAAAGTCAACATGTTTTGGAGGTCTTATAGAATATCGCCACATAGTTCCTATGTAGATAGTATATATAGAGGCAAGTGTGAAGTCTTCTTCATTCTTTTCAATTTTTTTCATGCTTCTAGTCTAATTTCAAGAGTCTCTAGTTTTCTTGTGTTTTTGCAATAGCCATTCAAGTTTCTTTTTAATATACATACTTCCTAATTTTTATTTTTTCATACTTCTTTGAGAAAGTATTACTTATTTATTTACTTTTATTGAGTTCTTATCTTTGACAAATTAAAAAAAATTATACTTATATTATTATTATTATTATTATTATTATTATTATTATTATTATTTTTTAATCAAGATTAAATTATCTATTTTTTATAAGATATAAGAATATTAGAAATTGTGGATTACTTTCTTTTAAACTAATATTTTTTTAATATTTTTTTTATTTTCAAATAATTTTATTTATTTGTCTTAAGTAATATAAGATATTTCTTTTTTTCTAAGTATTATTTTATTAGAGCTTCTCAAAATGAAGATTTGAATAGCACAAATGCATGAACAATTGAGGGAGTTAATGCTTGCAATGTATCAACTCAATTTACTACTACAAAAAGGAATAAAAATATTAGAAAGTCAAAATATAGAGATGATTGGAGTTGCTTCAACATGTACACCAAATCATGTTCCTTCTCTTATAATGGAACACCATTCAAGTACTAGAGAATCAATAATTGTCTTATTTGAGAAGTTTGATGGTATAAAATCAAAATTTTGAAGATTCATCAATCAAGTATAATTAGCAATTGAACTTTTATCCCAAATCTGTTTAATTCTAAGATCACAAGTCAAGTTTATTGAAATATTATTTTTTGATTTTGAATTATCATAGTTTTTATCTTTTTTTTGAATGACATGATTTAATATTGGATAATTTAAAAGCT